TAGAGAGAAGCCTATAGCAACCAATGGGGAAACTGAGGCCCAGAGAAGGCAAAGGTCTTATTCAAGACCATACGGTGAGGGGATAGTGGAGGGGAACCACCAAGGTTGTCCCCTAAAAAGACTCCTCTCTGATCCTTGCGAGAAGTATTTGATGTCCTTCTACATAAAGGCCAAATACTCTCCCAAGGGAGGGTGGGTCTCAGGGTTTTAGGGCCCCTGAGTACTAGAAGAATCTGGAGTTGAGAGCTCTCCTGGTTCCTCAGGAAAGAATCTTAGCCACCCCTTCTCCAGTCCCTGTCCCTCTTCCCAAGTCACTCACTGGATGGCGGATCCTACCATGGACATTTTGTCCTGTTCACACAACCCAGCAAGGCAGATGTCACATCTCAGTTTTACAGATGAGGAAACTAAGGCTCAGGGAAATGAAGTGGCTTGTCCAAGGCCACAGAGCCAGGCAGTGGGAGCAAGGAAATGACAACCAGGTCTGTCTGGCTCTGTGCTGACTCTCCCCACCACCACCCCACACCGTCTCAAGGCAGGTCTCCAAGTTCTGTTTCTGTTTTCAACCCTGCCCTCCTCTTAGCTCCCATTGCTTGAGGCCTGGAGGAGGTAGGGACGAACTGAACATCCCGGGGTCCCCAGCGCTTACCCTCCAGCACCACTTCTTTGCCTGTCTTCTTCAGGGCTTGCACCGCCTCATCATGGGTGGCAGAAGAAAGGTCTTCCCCATTCACGGACAGGATGGCATCCCCCACAAAGAGGGCCTCTGTCTGGTCAGCTGCCAGGCCCTTGAAGATCTTGGAAATGAGAATAGGCATCTTGTTCTCCCGGCCTCCTGCAAAGGCACACCAAGAGGAAGAAACTCCAGTGAAATGAAGTGGCTTGGGAGTCACGTCAAGGCAAAATTATTTCCAAAGGCCTCCTGCAGTGCCCAGCCCAGTGCTGGGAAGAGGGGATAGAAGATAAAGAGAATCTCAGAGAAGAGTCTTACAAGTTTGGGGCGCTAACAATACTTATAAGTCATTTTCTGAATTCGCAATGTCATAGTTTGGGCATTGGATCTTTTGGTTAAATGCTTTGGGTGTTCACCAGTGTTTGAGTAACTTACCAGCTACTTCAATGGCTTTTGTTTAAATTATTTTGGATTTTAAGCAATTTTCCACAATGGGGGAACCCAATGATACCCCCTAATCTGGCATTAAGATAGAATTCAGCTATTGCTATGGGCCCAAAGAATCTCTTTAGCATCAGAAAGTTTTACAATCCAGAATCCAGGCTGGAAACCAAGGCCTAAAAGTCTAGAGACATCAAAAGGCTATCTCAATTGCATCTCTGACGCAAAAAAAGCTAATACATTTTACTGAATTGCTTTACTGCTAAACTCTTAAATGTCCTTTTAAATAAGAAACATTAGGGGCCCGCCCCGTGGCCGAGTGGTTAAGTTCGCGCACTTCGCTTTGGCGGCCCAGGGTTTCACCGGTTCAGATCCTGGGCACGGACATGGCACCGCTCATCAAGCCATGCTGAGGCGGCATCCCACATGCCACAACTAGAAGGGCCCACAACTAAAAATACACAACTATGTACCGGGGGGCTTTGGGAGAAAAAGGAAAAATAAAATCTTTTAAAAAAAGAAAAAGAAACATTAGTTCCATGTACCAAGTGCCAAGCAGTGTGCTAAATGCTTGCAGCGTTGTCTCATTGCATCTTCACAACCACCAATTACACAGGCATGCTAGTTTCCTACTAGGAGCACTGAAGTGTGGAGAGAAGCCCCCTACCCAAGGTCCTCCAGTTAGGTAGTGGCAAAGGCGGTATTTGAACCCAGGTCTCCTGGCTCCGGAACTAACACTCTTAACCCTATGGCAGACTGCAAGTCAAATCCTCAGATATCTCACTACCGGTCCATCCCCAGAATACTGAAGATGAGGAACTAGAGGCCCGAGAGGAGAGGTCATTATTCCAAGATCACACAACAAACTGGTAGCAGAGGGGTACTGGAACGCGTCTCCTGACCTCCACACAGGCCCAACGATTTGCTCGTTGCACTGCACAAGCTTGAGGCCTAGGAAAGGAAGGGGTTTCTATTTATATCTGTCCTCCTCCCCCTGAAACTAGGGACTTCAGTTCAGTTTGAAGCTATGATCATTCCTGGCTGCCTTGGGGTGGGCTGGACCCTAGAGGGGAGGTCACCATGGTAACAGGAGCCCAGTCTCCAACCATGAAGAACTGAATGGAGCCGGTACTTCCCCTGACGCCTCCTAAAAGAATCTTCACCCCCTCCCCCGACCTGGGAATACGGAGCTGGGAAGTAAATTTATGTGACCTTGGAAAGTCCCTGCTCCTCTCCAAGTCTCAGTTTGTCCATTTGCACAATGGAACTCTATGAACTCTAAGTGCTTTCCTACTTTGACATACTGAGTGTACAGTTTCTGGATTGATCTTTTGTCCTATCACATGCTGGAGTTTGGAGGCAAGACTGGTGCTCACTCCCTGGCTTCCCTATTTCACCCTTTTCGATGCTTTGGTTGGCTTCCACAGGGAAGAACCAACTCCCCTGGGCACTCTCTAGCGTCCTGATAATTGAGGTTCAAATCTCAGTTCTGCCATTCGATGACTCATGATCCTGGTTAAAATCATTTTACTTTCTGAGTCTCAGTTTCTTCACCTACAAAATGGGAAGTATGCTCCCTACCTTCCACCCCTTGTTGCCGGGATGAAGTGGATCACGAGCCTAGAATACGGGGCACAGCAGTCAGCACACAGTGCTGGCTGAATGACCACTATCGCCAACTCCTCACCCAAGCCAAAGGGTCTGGAGGCACCAGCAGTGAACAGAGTCACTACTCTGGGAGGGGGAACTGCACATCCAGGTGATCCAAGAGCTGAGAGCTTTCCCAGGGCAGACAGTACTCTGCTAGGAGCTGGGCCCCTGAGAAGCAGATAGGTAGGAACAGCGAATCCAATAGCTGGGGGTGTGCAGGGATTTTAAGCACTATGGTTAGTTGCTTTGGGAGTCTCTCCTGACCTCCATTTTTTTTTCTCATCTAACAGCAATAATTAACTAGGCCCTACTATGTGCAACAGAGTGAGTACTTTAGAGTCCTGTTTTCACAGAAACATCACAACTCTATCATTATCCTCATTATATGGTTGAGGAAATTGAGGTTCAGAGATGGGAAGCAACTTGTCCAAGTTCACACAGCTGATCCTGGACTCAAACACAGTCTGGTTGCACCCTAAAGAAAGCTGTCAGTCTTGGGCGCTGGGAGCTCTCAAGAAAAGTAGCGCCTTTATGTCCTCCCCTCTCAAACCTGTATGGGGCCAGCCCAGTGGCACAGCGGTTAAGTTTGCACATTCCATTTCAGAGGCCTGGGGTTCACTGGTTGGAATCCCAGGTGTGGACCTACACACCACTTGTCAGGCCATGCTGTAGCAGGTGTCCCACATGTAAAGTGGAGGAAGATGGGCACAAATGTTAGCTCAGGGCTAATCTTCCTCAAAAAAAAAAAAAAGCCCCATGCAAGATAGAGATGGTCAGATCAGGAAACTCAGGGGCCGGCACAGTGGCGCAGCACTTAAGTTCGCACGTTCCGCTTCTCAGCGGCCAGGGGTTCGCTGGTCCGGATCCCGGGTGCAGACGTGGCACTGCTTGGCAGCCATGCTGTGGTAGGCATCCCACATATAAAGTAAAGGAAGATGGGCACGGACGTTAGCTCAGGGCCAGGCTTCCTCAGCAAAAAGAGGAGGATTGGCAGTAGTTAGCTGAGGGCTAATCTTCCTCAAAAAAAAAAAAAAAAAAAAAAAGGAAACTCAAACCCAGCTGTCGGGACCCTCTCCTGGCCCCCTGTCTGTGAGACTAGCCTGTGCTTTCACCTATCTCCCTGATTCCCTATCCCTTCTCCGCGCCCCTGCTGTGCTCCTGACTTCAGGCCTTCCCCTTCGCCCCCAATCTTGATTATGCCTCACGGACTTGCCCTCCCTGCCCTAGCAGCCTCCCAGGCCTCAAGCCTCTTTCTCCATCCTTTGCTTTCCTGGGGCCCCTCTTGTCCTTGATGCCCACGCAACCCCTGAGAGGCAATCCCCTGAGATCTCTATGCTTCCACACAGAACTCCCCACCCACGTGTCCTTGATGCGCCCCCAAACCCCTCCACACCTGTCCTTCCAACTGAGACCTCTGACCCCCCCAAATGCCCTCCGACCTTGGTGCTCCCCATGCCCTCGGGTCCATCTGTCCGCTCAGGCCCCCTTACCCCAGACAGAAGTCCTCCAACTCCACGTCCTCGGTATGCTGCCAGCCCCCGCAACCCCTCTGCCCTCGGCGGCCCCACAGACGCCAGGACCCCGTGCCCTCGGTGCCCCCGCGCCCACCTTTGATGCTGATGCCCAGCCCGCCGGCGTCGGCCTTGCGCACCGTCACGCGGCGCCGCTGGAGCAGCAGCGCCTCAGGCAGCTGCGGGGGCGCCGCGCCCGGCTCGGCGGCGCCGTTGAGCTGCCCGGGCTCCGGCTCCCGCGGGGCGCCGAGCTCCGGGTCGGGCTCGCCGTCGGCGGGGCTCACGGTCAGCGTGTCCTCCGCCAAACTGAGCAGCACCCGCTGCCACCGCTCGCCGCCGGCCCCCGAGCCCGCCCCGGCGCGCAGTTCCAGCAGCCCGGTGCGGGGGGCGCGCCTGCCTGACGCCATCTTCGCCTCCGCGCCCCCGGGCCGCCGCGCTCGCCCTGCCCCGCCGTGCCCGGCCCGCTCGGCCCGAGTGCCCAGGGCAGAGGGCAGCGGGGGCCCGACTGGGCCAGCCGCCACCCTACCCCGGGCCGCCGGGGGTGGAGCCTCGAGGGGCGGGGCTACATGGGGGTGTGGCTAACCGCGAGGGGCGTGGCCGCCGGCAGGCTCGCGGGAGGCTGGGGCGGGGCCCAGGAATCGAAGGATGCTGTGTGAGACCATTCGGGGGGTGGGATCATAAGGCGTCGGGGCGGGGCCACGAAGCAAAGAGAGGAGCAGGTGAGGTGCGGAAAGGGCGCCGGGGCCACAAGGGGGGCGGGGCTTCGTGTCGGGGGCGGAGCCCTAGGATCCGGTGGAGGACGCTCCGCGCTGGGCCTGGCCGTCGAGGTCTCGGACCGTGGCTCACGGACGTAGGAACACGAGAAAAAGAGACATGGTTCCCGGTGCGAGGCTTTGGGCGTCGGGGTGGGGCTACATATGGCAGAGCGCTGGACTCCAGGGACAGGGCTTGAGTGTAAGAGGTAGACCCGGCTCCACGAAGGACTTGGCGGGAGGACTTGCTAACTGAGGAGCTTCCGAAGGAGCAGGTTTCCCGCTGTGGGGCTGGAGCTTTGGTCTGTAGGCTTGGCTTAGTGTGGGGCGTGGCTTCTAAAGCTTGCAGGCCCCGCCCTCTGGGATGAGAGTGCGGCTGACTCTGCTTAGGGCTTTGGGAAGGGCCTGGCCAGGGTCCCCACTTTAAAGGGAGTTGAGGAGACTAACCCGCTGTTCTGTTCACAGTCGAACAGAGAAAAGCCTGAAGTCCCACCCTGAGAGACCTGGCCTGAGAAGAACTCAGAAGTCCTGCTGTGAGGAAAAAGGGCTGGAAGGTGGGGCTCTGAGTCTGGGCGACTGAAGATCTGGTTTAGGATCCCTGCTCAGACACAGTTAGCTCCATGTCGACCTTGGTCCCATCACTTCACTTCTCTAAGCCTTAATTTTGTCATCTTTGAAATGGGCAGTCATAATAATCCCTACCTCACAGGGCTTGTGTCAAGATTAAATCAATGTGAAAACACATTGTAAACTGTAGATCCGTATGCAATCAATATAACCACTTTCATTTATTGAATGCTTACTATTGGTCTAGATCTGAGCATTTTTCATGTATCTCATCTTTACAGTAGTCTCGTGGAGTAGCTACAGTTAAGAATACCCCCATTAAACAGAAGGGAAAACTAGGATTGAGAAAGTCATACATTTGTGAGTGGAGCAGAGCTGGGATTCAAACCCAGGCCTGTTTGACACCAGTGCCTGGGCACTGACCCACTCTGCTAGACAGCTGCCAAGTACAGAGGTGAGGTGTAATTGTCATCAGAAAAATCCCACCGCATCGCATACCTCAACCTGCCTTCATATCTACCTGTTGTCTCCATTCTCCACTCCGAGCTAGGATGAGTTGGGCAAAAATTGTTAGGGCCAAATCAGTATGTAGATTCCTTGCATCTTCAGGTAGAACCCTCCAAATAAGATACCCTCAAGATGGCCGATAGGCACATGAAAAGCTGTTCAACCTCACTAATTATTAGGAAAATGCAAGTCAAAACTACAATGCGATATCACCTCACACCCATCAGAATGGCTATTATTAAAAAGACAGAAATAACAAGTGTTGGAGAGGATATGGAGAGAAGAGAGCATTCATACACTGTTGGTGGGAATGTAAATTGGTGCAGCCACTACGGAAAACAGTACGGAAATTCCTCAAAAAATTAAAATAGAACTACCATATGATCTAGCAATTCCAATTCTGGGTATTTATCCAAAGAAAACAAAAATACTAATTCGAAAAGATATATGCACTGCTATGTTCATTGCAGCATTGTTCACAATAGCTAAGACTTGGAAACAGTGTAAGTGCCCATTGATGGATGAATGGATAAAGAAGGTGTGGCACATATATACAATTAAATATTACCCAGCTTTAAAAAAGATGAAATCTTGCCATTTGCAGCAACATGGATGGACGTTGAAGGTAGTATGCTAAGCGAAATAAGTCAGATGGAGAAAGACAAATACTGTATGATTTCACTCATATGTGGAAGATAAACACAAAGATACAAAGAACAGATTGGTGCTTACCAGAGGGGAAGGGGTTAGGGAAAGGGCAAAAGGGGTAAAGGGGCACATATGTATGGTGAAAGATGGCAACTAGGCTTTTGGTGGTGAACATGATGTAGTCTATACAGAAGTTGAAATATAATGATGTACACCTGAAATTTATATGATGTTATCTAATGTTACCTTAATAAAAAAGAAAAGATACCATCAAGAAAAAAAAAACCTCACAAGAAAACAGATACATATACAAACTGTGCACAGCAAACTTATGTTTGCAAATAATCAGAGATGAAACAGTGTCCAACAATAGGGAAATGGCTTTATACTACTGAAAACCCTCTGAGGCCATGTACGTAATACATATGTGTATTATACGCACATGTACCTAAACTTTATGTATGCCATTTATTCAGTTTGCTATATGTTGGCACATGAGCTGGCTGATTTTTGTATGTTGTCACATAAACCTCACATAAATCCTGCACAGCCTGTATATTATCCCCTTTTTATAGATGAGGGAAATTGAGGCACGCCACTAGAAAGAACAGACCTCTGTTCTAACCTGGGTCTGTCTGGCTTCCAAGCAACTATCATCCTTTCTGCAGGCTGCACAGCAGCAAGGGATGCGTTTACAATCCATTCACTCCTTCAACAATATTTATTGAGCATCTGCTATGTGCCAACCACAGCGCTAGGTGTAGGGATTCAGCTGTAAACAAGATAGTCAGGGTCTTGCCTCACTGAACACACTGTCCCCTGGGAGGCAGGATCCCATGGTGGTTAAGAGCATGAGCTTTGGATTCTGATTTTCTATGTTCAAATTCTCACTGTGACACTTTCTATCTGTGTGATCCTGGGTGACTTATTTAACCCTTCAGCTTCAATTCCATAACCTATAAAGTAGGAATATTAAGATTATTATGAGGAATAAATAAAATAATGCTGGTAAACTGCTTAGCATAATTCCCATACATAGTAAGCATTCAAAAAATATGGGGGCTGTCCCCGTGGCTGAGTGGTTAAGTTCTCGCGCTCTGCTGCAGGCGGCCCAGTGTTTCGTTGGTTCGAATCCTGGGCACAGATATGGCACTGCTCATCAAACCACGTTGAGGCAGCGTCCCACATGCCATAACTAGAAGGACCCACAACGAAGAATATACAACTATGTACTGGGGGGCTTTGGGGAGAAAAAGGAAAAAAATAAAATCTTTAAAAAATGTACATTTATGAGTTGTAGTTTTCTTGGAAAACAGACATCAAATAGCTTTAATTTAGAGTGATGTGTCAAAAAGGGGGAGACACAAGTGAAAAAAAAGAACCAAGGGTCTGATATATATTACACTCGATAAGAAAGGGAAGGAAGGAAGAAAGAGAGAGAGACAGAAAAAGAAAGAAGGAAGGAAGGACCGGGGCTCACCTGGTGGTGTAGTGGTTAAGTTTGTACACTCTGCTTCGGTGGCCTAGGGTTCACAGGTTTGGATCCCAGGCACGGAGCTGGCACCACTTGGCAAGCCATGCTGTGGTGGCATCCCACATAAAATAGAGGAGGGTTGGCACAGATGTTAGCTCAGTGACAATCTCCTTCAAGCAAAAAAAAACGAATTACAGCATTACATACCTGCATTGATATTTCTAAAGTATGACTGTGCTTAAAGATTGTAGGGCAGCCTGAGAAATGTGAGGGTAAGCACACCTCACGCGTGATGAAGAAGAACAGCATCCTGTTGGCTTTTGGAAGCTTCACTCTGATGGTAGAAGGGAGGGGAGGAGGGATCAGGGAGGAGGCAGGAGACGGGGCGGGGTGGGGGGGGGGGGTGGTGAGACGCCTTTCCCAGGACCAAAGTCTGGAGCTGGATCTTTGAAAGTCCCGCCACGTACTGCCCTGCTTAAACCAGACTTAATGAGCCCCAGACAAACTTGGTGAGAAAGAGGCCTCTACAGAGTTCCTCCCCTGGGGGGCTGTTTTCCATGGTTATAATGGGAAGGGAGAAAGGAGAGCGGCAGCGATGTGTGCAGAATAAGAGGAGGCTAGCAGAGAAGGAAGAAGGCTGTGGAGCCAGAGAAAACAGTGAGGAGTGTGTGTGTATGTGTCTGTACGTATGTGTGCATGTGTATCTTTAAGTGTATTGTATGTGTGTACGTGTGTGTCTGTAATCACACGGTATGGGCAGTGCCTATCAGCTGTGTCCCTGTCAGCCCACCCCAGGAACCCTGAAGCTGGAGGAATGCTCTCCTCCTCCACCGTAGTCAGCTGATGCCTCTCCTCTATGGCTGGAAAATTGGCTTCCCAGACACACACACACAGGCCTGGCTCCCCACCAAACCTGAGGGCAGAGCTTCCAAAAGAAAGCAGTTCACTCCCGAGGGACAAAGGGAAAGGAAGGAGGGAGGGGAGCTGCCCAGCTTACCAGTCTTCAGTTCCCCCTGAAGGCCCTGCAGACTCAAGCCCTTGAACCAAGAGCCTGTGGCCCTGGTCAGACAGGGAGGCCTCTACGCACAGGCTCCAAGGCAGGAAGCAGAGGTTCCTGCACTCCTGGCATCCCAGACCCAATGATGGCAGCAGTAGTGAGAGGTAACAGGACCAACTGCTTAACACAATAATTGCTGTCTGTGGATCATCTTATTTAACCTTCAAGACAATCCTCGGAGAGTAGGCCTGTTATTCTCCCGATTAGGCAGATGAGGAAACTGAGGCTCAGGGACATGAAGGAATAAGCCCAGGCAGTCTGACACCAGAGCTCACTGTGATACCATATGGTACCCCGGGAGAGGTTTGGATCTTAGTGGAAGGTGGCAGGCTTCCAAAGTCTAAGACTCTGTGGTGCCCTGTGCATCACCTTTTTTTTTTTTAAAGATTGGCACCTGGGCTAACAACTGTTGCCAATCTTTTTTTTTTTCCTGCTTTATCTCCCCAAACCACCCCCCCCCCGCCCCCCCCCGCCCCCCCCGTGCACAGTTGTATGTCTTAGTTGCAGGTCCTTCTAGTTGTGGGATATGGGACGCCGCCTCAACGTGGCCTGACGAGCTGTGCCATGTCGGCGCCCAGGAGCCGAACCCTGGGCCGCTGCAGCGGAGTGCACGAATTTGACCACTCGGCCACTGAGCCGGCCACTGTGTATCACCTTTTAATCTTCGTGGCAACCTCGGGAGGCAGGTGTTCTCATTTCCATTTTGCAGAGGAGGAAACCAAGGCCCGGAGAGGGAAAGTGACTAGTCTAAGGTCGTACAGCTAATAAATGGCAGAGCCCAAATATGAAACAGGTTGTTTCTGATTCCAAAGCTTTGGCCCTTTCTACTGGGCTACGCTAGGATCCTAGTTAAAATCAGACTCTCAAATTTTAGAGAATTCAAATCACAGGCTTATGGAATTCAGAGTAAAGCAATGTTGGCATCCTAAAATCTTGATGTTTAGGAGGGGACCCATCAAAGGTCACCAAGTCCAATTCCCCCATCCCATCCCAAGCAAGAAGCCCCTTTATAGCATCCCCAAGAGCTCCCCCTCTAGCCTGAGCTTGGCTGCCTCCAGTAACAGGGACCTCACTTTTCCATAAGGCAACCCACTCCAGTTAAGAAACCACCCCCCACCACCCACGCCAAGGCAAGGAGAGAGAACTCACTCACACGTTTTAGTCTTGCTGTCTCAGTGCTGGGGACTCAAGGCTGCTCCCTAAAATGCCTGTTCAAGTTAAAGCTGAGAGAAAGTCTAGGAATTCTCCCACAACCATCCTATTCATTTCCTTCACAGGACTCATCACAGTGTGCACTTCATGCTTCATATTTGTTTACTTGGTTATCTCCTGTCTCCCCACTAGACTGGGCATGGCCTGAGGGCAGGAACTCTGTCTCCCTGGTTTATTGCTGTAACCCCACCACCTCCCATACTGCCTGGCACAAGGCAGATGCTCAGTAAATGTCTGTTAAATGGACGAATGAATGAATAAATGAATGAATGCTTCCTGAGGGAAGGTAAT